TGATTTATTGGTATGAACAATAATATTGCCTGGAATGTGCACTCCAGATGCTAGAACTTAATGGATTTTCTCTTAGTAGACTGATTATCCCTTACTTTATTGGATGATCCGTTAGTAGAACAGGGTCCTGTTCTCCTGGCAGGTAGCTCAGCACCTGGACATTGGAAGGCCTCACTGTGGATTGAATAAATGGATGAATGAATGAAAAATTGTGGGAATTTTATCCACTTGATAATGGCTAAGGACGATGGAAAACTCAGTGTTCCTGAGAAGGTTATTCAGCTATGAGAAGGTTTACTCATACCCAAACGTATGCTTATCCTGTTTACCGCTAATGATTCTTCTTTGAGGTGCATTATTGCATAGAAAAATAGGTTCATAAAACCCATATGAAAAGTTCCAATACTAATGGGAGTTATCACTGGATTAGCAGATGTCTCTGTCTATTTATAGGAATTTAATATTATCTTATTTTCTGATTTTATAAAATTACAATGCATCATTATTAAAAAGTAAAGACTAGTGATTTTGTGTTAGGACAGAATTTGTTTACTGAATAACTTGCTAATCCCTGGTAACTATTTCTGGAAAAGCTTCTGATTCTCACTTCTTCTCTTCCATGTTTGAATAGGTTTTCACTGTTTACTTAATGTCCAACCCTGAGATGCCAATGACCAAGTTTATTGTGGTCTTATGTTGGCTTATGTCTCTCACTAAATTATCTTCCACCTTTCAATAGAAGATGTAGGTGTTATTGTATTTTTACCCCAGTGTATAACACAAGGTCAAGATTTACTGAGGTCTCAGTAAATTCAAATGAAAAAGGATGACTATCAAATTCGCTCTAGAATCAAATTGTTTTATCTGTATACTATTGAGGTAACCTCTCTATATGCTCTGTCCTTTCTCACCTCCAATATACCATTCATCACTCCTTAGCAATACTGTATAATATAATAGGGTTTTGGAGTTACCAGATGGAATTTTAGCTGTAACATTTATTAACCATGCGATCTTTAGTAATTTCCTTAACTTCTTTGAGTCGTAAGATAATATGAAGTGGTCATTTAAAAACCTAGAATGGGAGAAGGGAGAAAGTTAGAAAAAATGAAATTTGGTACTAAGCTTAGTACCTGGGTGACAAAATAATCTGCATAAAAAACTCCCGTGATGTGAGTTTGCCTATATAGCAAAGCTGCACATGTACCCCTGAGCCTAAAATTAAAGTTTTTTAAGAAATCCAAAAACTGACCAGGCACAGTGGTTCACACCTCCAATTCCAGCACTTTGGGAGGCCAAGGCAGGTGGATCACCTGGGGTCAGGAGTTCGAGATCAGCCTGGCCAACGTGGTGAAACCCTGTCTCTACTGAAAATACAAAATTTAGCCAGCCATGGTGATGGGCACCTGTAATCCCAGCTACTAGGGAGGCTGAGGCAGGACAATCATTTGAATCTGGGAGGCAGAGGTTGCAGTTAACCGAGACATCGCCATTGCACTCCAGCCTGAGCAACAAGAGGGAAACTCCATCTCAAACAAAAACAAAAACATAAACAAAAATACTTATCAAGTCAAAAGACAAATATTGGCCATGTCATCAGATTACTGTATTTCCCACTTTAAATGCTTCATAATTCTCATGTATACCTATTTTTTTCCATTCTTCATTTTCTAAGTCAAAACTCATGATAGGCTCCCAAAATCTTCTATGCTGTTTTAATCTCACCTAACTGAAAATATTCTATATTGGAAGCTCTGCCCTAGTTGAGTTCTGCCTGAGACCAAATGGTGAATATACCTAATTGTAGGATGTAATTAGTAGGTTCACCTGGGCAATTGAACAAAGCTATGTTCTCTAATCTGTTCTTCAGTAATAAAAGCGGTATTTTGGTATCTTTTTTTTTTAACATTTTCTGATGTGAGGTGAATAAAAGTGTTAATATATATCAAATACTTTTTGAAGACTATAATAATAACTATAATTGAATGTATACTGTTTAACTGGAGTGGTGATACATGTTTTAGATACACTATATGTTCAGAGATAATAATTATTTAGAATTCTGTTTAAAAAGAAACATAGGCTGGGTGTGGTGGCTCACGCCTATAATCCCAGCACTTTGGGAGGCTGAGGTGGGAGAATTGCTTGAGTCTGGAGTCAAGACCAGCCTGAGTAACACAACAAGGGCCTTGTCTCTACAACGAATAAAAAAATAGCCAGGTATGGTTGTACACGCTTATGGTCCCAGCTACTCTGGAGGCTGAAGTAGGATTGTTTGAGCCCGAGAGTTTGATGCTGCAGTGAGCTATAATCACTCCACTGTACACTCATCCTGGGTGACAGAGTGAGACCCTGTCTGAATAAAATAATAAACGGATTTCCATGTTCGTGTTTAGAACCATCAATGGGAGATTTTAGGAAATTTATCTAAGAGTCAGTTTATTTAACCATATATTAGAGAAGCTTTGTTTTCAGAGAAAGTTTTGGAAGCACCAAATTATTATATTTAATATTTATACCAAGAAGGAGTGAATACAACTTCTTAGAAGAAAAAAAAAATAACTGAAGCTGTATCAAGAAATACAAGGGTCTGAGATTTTATTCTATTTTTAAGCTAAGAATTTAGTCTTCCAGAGATACATATATACTGGCAGAAAACACAGACTCCTGTGTCAGAGACAAAGAAAAGTGTTGGTCACAGAAATAGCCCATATTCACATAGAGTGATAAGATACAATAGAACCATGTAATGCCTACATAAGTAGTGGGTTATGTGACAAAAGAACCTGAGCTTTGCTCCAGAGGAAAACAGTAGTTCTGTCTTTCTATACTGTTTTCCCTATAAATATCTTTGGAAAGATAGCCTGGAAAAGAAGCAGTCCATGTTTCTGCTCGTAAAGTGTGTAGGAACACAAAAGACCCTTGGGGAATTGTTTCTCAGTAAGCTGGACTATGAGACTTCAAGCAAGAGGAATTAGCTTAAATAAAGGTCCAGAGAGAGGAAAGGATGGAAAATAGAAAAACAACACAGCAAAGTCTTCAGTTTTGCAGGAGGCTGGGAACAGACATGAATCATGTTTACATTCAGTGAATTGGGTAATTAATGTAAAGAGGTTCTGATCACTGAATTTGTTTTCTACTGCTATGGCTTCCAATCAAGGATAAGTTAACATAGAAGTAAGGCTAAGCCTAACTATGTTAAAAGTCCATGACCAAAAATGCATATCTCTATGTTCAAGTTTAAGAGATATGCAGTTCTTTAGCAATCGCCTGGCAATTCCCGTATACAACGTGCTTGAACTAAATTATATCAGGCAAATTTGGGAAATAAAATGATGAGTGAAGGGAATCAGAAAATGATTAAGACCAATAACAAGAGAAATATGTAATTGTAAAGTTTACCACATTAAATTTATTAACTTTGGAAAATATTTGTTTTCAAACAACTCCATAAAATAGGAAAAGTGGATGTTATGAAATTTCTCTCTTTTTTTCCTCCAACTGGGAGACGAAATGAGAGATAAATCAATTGGCCTTTTTTTATATCTAATCCTCCAAAGTCTTTTACTTAGAAACGTAAATGCTTCCAGTTTTGTTTCATTGGTAACTTGCTTTTTCATCTCTGTTTACTTCACTTTTTCTTATCTTGCCACTATCCTGTGCCAAAAGTATTACAAATACACATTAATATATGCCATCTGGAGTAGTTTTCTTAAGAAGAGAAAAGAAGAATATGAGGGCTGATGAATTTGACCCAGGGCCCCAGTCCAACATCTGTAACACCCTCTCTCCAACAAGGCCTGTGGGACACAGTGAGTCTCTTTTAGATCTTATCTGAGCGTCATTCACCCCTTGCCTTTCCCATAATGAAAGAGCCACTCAGATGCAGAGGGGTTTCCTGGGAACTTCAGGACATGGGGAGATTTCCACCAGACCTTTGATGTTAAGTAGCTTTGGAATTGAGGAAAAGCTTTGTCACAATCTATAAAATGGAAAGGAGATGTAGGAAGAGTAAAGAGACCCTGCTCTGCCAAAAGAGTGACCTGGGATGCTTTTTTCTAGCACTAGCAAAAACTTGAAGATAGTTGGAGATCTTCCATGAAGGCAATTTGGAGTGAAAACACCACACAGTTTTACCTCTTTAATTATTGTTGAATTGTACAGTTCTCTCAAGGTCTGTTAAAAATGTAATTTTATTACAAAGTACAGATTAAGATTCAAGTCTGTGTATTCCCGAGAATGACAAAAGCAGTAGTATTGAGAGGAACGCTGTAGATTAAACAAAGTAGCCAGGAAAACACTATGTCAGTAAAGGAATTGGCATGATAGAGATGAAAATCTCTCTCCAAATCTGATGATAGACTACTAGACTAGCATATATTTTATTCCTCAAGGAAAATTATGTTACAACCAACATTTGTGTAATTTTCCTTTTTTTTAAATCATTTAGCGAATCACTAAATATATTATCTTTGGTGTAAGCTTCAAAAATAAGGTGAAATGTGGCAATTTTCCTGTAAAATAAAGTTTCTATTTTTTCCCACACGTTCACTAGAATATAGTTTTATAGGATATTTGAATACATACATTATTATAATAGAGTTAGGCTGGGAAAATTTGCACTTCCGGAGTCTGTGTTCCTCTGAACAATGGTTGACATATTAGGAGAGATTGATTTAAAGTATGAAAATACGGACTCATTCTTTTGGACCAGGTCCCTACCCATTTTACCTTTCTTGAATTAGGATTTTACTTTTGTCAGAAAGACCCCTCTGCCTTTTATTTGCTAGGAAGCTTTCAAAAGCAATCAAGAATTCTATTACTAAGGAGGCAAGCACTCAAGTAATTGCTATTTCTCATTTGGGAAAAACTTAGGTTCAAGTCATACACTGTCCCTTCTTGAAAAGTTTGAGAAGTGGTTGAGTTGAAAAAACAAGCCAAGGTGAAGGAGAGAGCTCATATCAAGACAAAATAGTATTTCTCGGAAAGAAAGAGGAAGATAATGTCCTCAATCAGTTTATTTCCTGCTCTTACAATTGTGTAATTAATCTGGTCTAGAAGTTAGCATGATTCAAAGTATTGCAGAGGAACATCAGGAAGCTATTTTCCATTTACATTTTATTGTGTGGCTGGCTCCTCCCTGGGAAAAAAAGTCTGTTCACATGAGTTAGCCATTCCACTCACATTCGAATTGAAGAGGGAAGAGCCAAGTGTCTCTACTGTGCAGTAAAAGAAATGTGCTGAGGCCATAAACATCCTCCTGCTGATGCATGATTAAGGTAGAGTTGTTTATTTGGATAGAATGGCCATTTCTCTCTTTTTGCCCTTTCTTCCTCTCTTCTCTGTTCTGTTCATCGTCCTCCCTGCTCTTCCTTTTCTTTCTCTTTATTTTTTGTACAGAAACCTGCTGAGACAATATGGATGCGGCTGCAGGCCATTTTCCTAAGTGAATTAACACAGGATCAGAAAACAAACACTGCATGTTCTCACTCATAAGCGAGAGCTAAACATTGGGTACTCATGGACATAAAGATGCCAACAATAGGCACTAGTGGAAAGGGAGGACTGAGCCAAGGATTGAGAAACTAATTACCAAGTACTGTGCACACTACCTGGATGACGGGAATCAGTTATATCCCAAACCTCAGTATCACACAATACACCCGTGTTACACACCTGCATATGTACTCCCTGAATCTAAAATAAAAGTTGAAATTATATGGAAAAGGAACCTGCTAAGAAGTAGGTAATGAAAATAATGATGACTGTGATGGTTAATACTGAGTGTCAGCCTCATTGGATTGAAGGATGCAAAGTATTGATCCTGGGTGTGTCTGTGAGAGGGTTGCCAAAGAAGATTATCATTTGAGTCAGTGGGCTGGGAAAGGAAGACACACTCTCAGTCTGGGTGGGCACAATCTAATCAGCTGCCAGTGTGGCCAGAAGACTAGACTGGCTTAGCCTCCCAGCCTACATCTTTCTCCTGTGCTGGGTGCTTCCTTCCCTCAAACATCAGACTCCAAGTTCTTCAGCTTTGGGACTTGGACGGGCTTCCTTGCTCTTCACTTGCAGATGCCCTATTGTGGGACCTTGTGTTCGTGTGAGTTAATACTCCTTAATAAACTCATATATATCCTGTTAGTTCTGTCCCTCAAGAGAACCGTAATACAATGACTGAATCAGAAGATGCCCATCTAACTTGATACTGATAGTGAGAAGCTGCACAAAGATGGTGTAAATGTGAAATCACACCAACTTCCTCCTCTCCTTCCCCTTTCACATCTTGTTTTCACTTTCTTATTTTTCAACAGTGCTGAGTGTAACATGTGCAGAGATTACTCAAAGAAGAAAGAAAAAAATGTGGCTTGGGAATCCAATTGCTTGAATTTAATTGTGATTCTATTACTTAGTAGCAGTGTGACATAGGGCAAGGTTCTTAACATCTCAACGCTGTAGGGACTGAATACTAATCTCATCATACTGTAGAAGATTTAAATACAGTAGTATAAATAAAGCTCTTAATATAGTTCTTAGCTGTAAGAACCATATTAAGCTAGAAGCAGAAATTGCATGTTAATTTTTTTTATCATTATAGCCATGTATTTTTTCTTTTCTTTTTTTTTTTTTTTTTTTTTTTTTTTTTTTTT